CGAATTTTCTCTGGACTGAAATTTCTCTAGATCAAGGTTGAGGGACCTTAGACATTATGAAAATATTGTTGATGGACCTTAGACATCATAAAAATATTTGATGTCCTTTATGTTATAAAATCATAATATCAAGGACCTTAAAAAAAAAACCCCATAAATTTATGCTTGCATATTTTATTTTGTGTCAAATAAGTCTAATAAAAAATATCCATCTAAACTGTTGACATAAAATAAACACGCGCACCAACATGACCAATTTTCAAGAGCAATATGACATATTCATTCATTCTTCTTTTACTGTAGATTAACAAATCATGACATAACAAACTTTGATTAACAATTCAATTTATCATACTAAGGGGCAATTTAAGAAGTTAGCTTTTAGCTTTTAATTTATTTTTGGTCATATCACTTCTCAAAAATGGTCCGTAGCTCAAAAATTGAAGGGCTCGAACGGCTCGAAATTAGAAATTTCTCTCTCCTCTCGCTACTTTTCTTTTCTTTTCTTTTTCATCTCATCTCCCATCTCCGCTTGGCAATGAAAACAACTCCATTTTTCTTTTCTTCGTAGCTCGAAAGAAATCAGAAAGAAATCATCCATCCGTCTCTCGATATCTTCTCTTTCCTCTCGATATCATCCGTCTCTCCTCTCTATCTCTTCACTCTGGCCTTCAAGGAGTACGAAGGAAGACGCGACGGGGGACAAGGGACGAGGAGACGGTGGACGAACGACGACGGAGAGGACGGAGGACGAACAAAGAACGACGACGGAGGACGGAGGACGAACGACGAACGACGACGGAGGACGAACGGGAGCCTGCGACAGCGAATCTGAGGTACAAATTAAAAATCGCAAAGTTAGGGTTTTACATTTGGCTTCAATTTTTTTAGAACAGAGTCGATTGGGAGTGTTTGGGGTTGGATTTATGATGCAATTTGTGTTAGGGTTTGCGATTTGGCTTTAATTTGTTCAGGAGGTTCCGCTTCTACCACTCTTGTTCTGTGTTGGTTACCTATTGCGTTTTTATAATTTCAAAAATTGACAAACATGAATTTCAAAAAGCCAAAGTAATGGAAATTCTGAAATTCATACAACATACACAGGTTCAAAAGGATAATCCTCGTTTCAAAAATAGTATAATCAAACCTGGAAATTCTGTTAGAACAGCTGTTGAACATGAATTTCAAAAATAGTATAATCCTCGTTTTCACTAACATGAATTTCAGAATTTGGGGCCTATGAATTTCAGCTGTTGAACATGAATTTCATACTCTTGTTCTGTGTTAGTTATAATACTGTATCAAAAATAGTATAATTCTCGTTTTCACTAACTACTATATCAAAAATGGTTATATTCCTTGAACTAAATCTGATTGAGTTGAGTTATTCTCCAATTTATGAAAATGGCCTCTCCAATAGAGGCAATTGGGGGAAAATGAATTCATGTAACCATCTCCACTTCATGAAGACTATGTCCTGTTGAGTTAGAGTGAAGACTAAAAATAGAGTGAATTCATGTGAATTCATGTTGCCATTTCCTAAGTCATTGATACCTAATTTGAAGGAAGGTAAGCTATAATAGAAAAATAAAAGGAAATTTTTTTAGTTATTCTTGAATTTGGAGGCTTGCCATTGAAGAAAACTGCTTGAGAATTGATTTAGCATCTTTGTCTAATTTTAGTGAAGACTAAAAACTGCTTGAGAATTGATTTGGGAATGATGATTCAAGATTTCCAAATTTCCAATAAGCTAAGTTTAACATGTAAAAGTATAAATTCATATGATTGCTCAATGTTTCCTGTTAAAATAGCACATGGTCTTCTAAGATGGTAGATAGTGCCTCAATTCTAAAACTATTCAATTCTTGAACTTAGAAGTCTTTACTGATTTGTTTGAGGAGGTCTGTTAACCAAATTCATTCAAGATTGTTTGAAGATCCTATGAAATGAAGGACGTGTCTTTTTCGTTTGCCCAACAAAATATGTAAGTCTGGTATATAAATTAATCTTTTGTTTTTTTCAAATTTCATTTGTCATTTATTGATTAACTGCTTCTTCTGCATTGTAGAGTGCGAATGGAAACTGCAATTACTTCAGTTCGGCAGATGATGGCGACGACGACGTTACGTCCACAATTCATGCCAATGCTGGACCTCAGACAGATTCAAGTAGTGCAGAAATTAATGATCTAAGGAGAAGGAATGACCTGATGGACATAACAGTGTCTAATATAAATGTATTTTAATTTATTGTATTTTAATTTATTGTATGAAGGAATGACCTGATGGACATAACAGTGTCCACAATTTGTATGAATGTATTTTAATTTTGTTGGTTGAATGAATGTAGGCTCTGTTAACAGTGTCTAATATTTAATAGAAAATTTGGTCTATTGTTTGAACATAACAGGTACTCCAATAATCTGTGTAACACATGAATGAATGAATGAACTTGTTTGTTTGAACATAACAGGTACTCGAATAATCTGTGTATGAATGAATGAATGAAATTGTTTGCTTGTTTGAACATAACAGGTATGAATGAATGGGCAGATGAATGAATGAACTTGTTTGTTTGTTTGAACTTGTTTGTCTGTTATGAGATGAATAATCTGCTAAGTGAACATAACAGGTACTTAAGTGAACAGGTGAACATAGCAGGTTTCTAGCCACTTAAGTGAACAAATAGGTTGGCTCTCTTAAGTGAACATGTTTGGCTCTATTAAGTGAACTTGTTTGGCTCGCTTAGCAGAACATAACAGGTTTCTAGGCACTTGTTATTATGTTAATTTTTTGATCAGCAAAATAGAACTTCATTGAGAAAGAACCAAGGATGAACACACAAATAATCACCCTAACACAAATAATCAGCAGTTTCACTCCACCAGCTACAGCAGCATTAGGAGGCATAAAGCAACTAATGGACATACAAATAATCACCCTAACACATGCCAACAGAACCACATATCAGCAGCAGCAGAGTAACTTTATTGAATAATGTTTTAGCTACCAGGACAACACATCAGCAGCAGCAGAGCAACACAACATCAGTAGCAGAGCCACACACCAGCAGCACCAGAAGGGAGTGAAATGCAACTAATGGACACACAAATAATCACCCTAAGACATTCCATCAGAACAACATATCAACAACAGCAGAGCAACTCTATTGAATAATGCAACCAACCAGAACAACACATCAGCAGTAGCAGAGCAACACAACAGCACCAGAAGGAAGCAAAGGATATACATTGAAGCAAAGGTCTTCATTATAACATGTTTCACACAAACAAACATACACAGGTTCAAAATTTCCAGGTTCACTCATTAATGGTCCATGTTCAACAGCTGAAATTCAACAAATTCACTGAACATACAAAGTCAGTCATACTCTTTCAGTCAACATACACAGGTTACAATTACCACTTCGAAACTAAAAAAAAAATGGATCCCCGTCGATGTTCAAGTCAACAAAATTTGATGGTACTATCGAACTTTGACTGGTAATATTGTTAAGCATTCTAGCTTGAGTATGAGATGTGCTTCCAATGTCGTCCCCAATTGTACTAACTGGTGCCTGTAAAAATAAAGTAAATATTAAAAAAAAAATCCACAAACATATTCACCAATATCAACCGATAACAAACAAAGTGCAATATATTAAGTCTATTCAACACATACCGGTACATACATACTGTCTGCTATGGCATCCATAGAAGGACAATAGTAAGGTTCATTTGGCGGCACCTAATAATGAAATAGTAACACAAGTGAATTAGTAATTTCAAGCAATAAAATTAAAAGCCAAAAATGTTAACACCAAACAACTTTTATATTTAACGCGTACCGGTTCATACATAGTGTGTTGCACGCCTCCCGTACAAGGAAAGCTTAACTTACGAGGTTCACCTTGACGCACCTTTTGACCCTATAGCACAAGTTCATTGATGAATATTTGAAGTTTAACAAATTCAGCTATATATGATGTAGTGCAGAATGAAAAATGTACCGGATTATCCTTCTTATTTTTTCCCTTCAACCGATTCACTATTGCATCAACCTTGCTAACCTTCCGTTTCGTACATGGACGGCCTCTTCTTCGAGCAACCAAAGGACTGAGCACCTTGCGAGTCATGCTTTCTTTTCTAGTATTGATACGAGGCGGACTTTTTGGTGAAGTATGGGAAGGTGGTAAAGTAGTACTCGAAGGTGGTAAAGTACTAGTACATGGCACATTACTCGCACTACTTGATTGAACTATTCTCACTTCATCCTTGATTTTCATCAACCCAAGTTGAATCACTTTGTGTTTACCATCATCATTGGTAGCAAGTTCTAGGATCTCATCCAACGTGTTGTGATAGTTATCATGCAACTTTGGATGTAGAAAAGAGCCAAAGTTAGTATATGTGGTTGGAATGCATGTGTAGCCTCTTTCCAAGTCTTTTCTCCTTCTCTAAACAATGTATTTATTTGGCACCTTATATATGGATCTTTCAATGAGCACACAAAGTGAATGGGCACACATAATACCTCTAAACTCAAACAACCGACACATACATTGGAGCTCACATTCAGTTGAATTAAAATACACAACAAATTCCACTTTCTTCATCCCCTCACCCACAACAACAGCCTCCCTCACATGATAGGTACAAATTGCGCCCTCTTCTTTGATAAGATTTGCACGACAATACACTAGGCGCTTCATTTCTAGTTGAACTTCTTTAAATTTTGAATTAGTGTAAGCTGCACGAAATTGCTTCTCCAAACGATACGCCGTTAAGCAATCATACAATTTGTTATGAGACTTAAAATCTGCTTTTGTCTCCTTCTCTACCTTACTTCTTAACGCATTGTCATACTGCTCAACAAATTGCTTTAAGGTTGTCTTGTAGTTCACATATCCATCAAAGAATGCATTCATACTCTCACTTCGTTGTGTAGTTGACATACCAGCCCAAAATATGTCTTTAACATAGGCAGGAATCCACCTATGTCGCTCATGGTATAATACCCTCAACCACTCGTTATCATTCAAATTGAAATTTTCAATCATTGCTTCCCAATATTCCTCAAATTCATCTTTTGTGAATGAATCATAAACTGCATTACTCAAAGCAACCTTAATGGACTCATATTGCGAATATCCTCGCAATTTCTCCGGAATTTTCTTTATAATATGCCATAAACACCAACGATGCCGACCCTGTGGGAAGACAATTTCTATGGCATTTTGCATAGCTCTGCACTGGTCAGTTATTATCGCTTTTGGGGGCGCATCTGACATACAACTTAACCATTCTTTGAAAAGCCAAACAAATGTCTATGTGTTCTCATTACTTAACAACCCACAACCAAACAAAATTGACTGACCGTGGTGATTAACTCCTACAAATGGAGCAAACGGCATATCATATTTGTTTGTCAAATAGGTTGTGTCAAAAGAGACAACATCCCCAAATGCTTTATAAGCCGTCCTACTCCTTGCATCTGCCCAAAACAAGTTTCGCATGCGACCATCTTCATCAAAGTCAATTGCCGAATAGAATTTTGAATTTTGTTGTTGCATTTTATGAAAATAAAATGTAACTGATTCGGCGTTGCCTACCCCAAGTCTCAATCTTCTAGCATTTTGAATATAATTCATTGCATCTTGTTCATCAAACGTTAATGACTCATATCCCCCACTTCAACAACTATGGAATGAAAATTCCTAGCCACCCCAATCCCTGCTGCATCGTTAACTTCTAGTCTCCTCTTCACCGGAGTAAGAATCCTCTTATTCATTGGAAAATGCCGTGAGTCACTCGGAATGAAATCATGAGTGTGCTCAAGCACAACCGTGGTTAACTTATATCTTCCATCTTTTTGTAGAGTGGCTCTAACCCTTGCTTTACAATCTATTTTTGATGACAAAGATGGTTCGAGGGGATTTACTTCTAATCTTTTTGTTCTATTTCGCGCCCGAGTACATTCAATTCCAAAGTACTTTACTTGCCCATCCCTCGTTACATTTTGTGTTCTATAAGATATAGCAAATCCAAGTTGTTTCGCATATTTTGCATAAAATGTGTGTACTTCTTGCTTGAAGATAAAACACATCCCCTTCTTCGGTTCTTCAACTTCACCACTCTCATTAAATTCAACATTGTTATCTTGTTCTTCAACTTCCTCACTTACATTGAATGAATTATTCATTGAATCAATATCCATTGTAGCTTCAAAGTGGGTACAGATTCTTCTCAACAAAGTAAGTGACTTGATGCGGAGTGCCCTTCAATGGAACCTGATTATAGAAAACATACTTTCAAGTAACCAAAATGACAATCTATATAAAAATACCTTGTTATGAGCATTAAAGTATAACAAGATGAAGCCATTGAATTGTAGTTCATAACAAGGAACTTATGAATCTGTTCATTGAATTAATTTATACAATGAGTTATGGTGTTTATAATTTTGTGCAGTGAATTATGGTGTTTATAACATATCATTGAATTTTGTAACAACAATATATTTCATAACAACAACAATGTGAATTTTGTTAATCTTGTTAAATTTTCATGAAGTTCCTTTTTAATTTTCATCAACAACAATGTTCCTTAATAGCACCAGATTTCATCAACCGAACATATTTTTCATCAACAATAATGTTCCTTAACAGCAGCAGATTTCATCAATACAACATTTTTTTTCATCAATAAAAAACAACCCATTTCCTACCAGTTTAACAGAACATATGGATTTATACTTTGACAAAAGGTGGGAAAAGGTCAAAATTCGACAGGGACATGGATTGAGCAATGTTTCCTACTAGTTTAACATCAAGATTCGGTGGGTGATTGCTCAATGTTTCCTACTAGTTTAACATCAAGATCATACCATATTAATTTTTATTTCACTCACCTTTCGGCACACACATGCAGCGGCGGCGGCGCCTTTCGCACACACAGCGGCAGCAGCCTCGTCGGCGGTACTAGTAGAAGCGGCAGCAGCTTCGTCGGCGGCACCCTTTCGCACACACAACCTTGATCGGCGTCCTCTCTATCACTCTCTATACTGTGTTCTTGTTTTTCTTCTTTTTTTTTTTTTTGTGGAAACGAATGTCTGAGTTTGGTAAGAATTACCTGTGTACAAAGAAGAAAATGTGGGTGTGCAAAGAATGGTCAAAATTCGGGCCTTTCGACCCTTGACCTTTCGAACTACAAAATGGAACTCATCTTTTTATTAATGTGATAGGTATGATGTAATACTCCAATGGGGCAAGTATGAATGTGACACTCAAACGATGTGACAGTCCAAAAAAATTAAAAACTCTTTAATGTACTTTTTCTAAATGTGACAACATGTCGGATATGATGTGACACCACAATT